CCCACCCCAGGACATTTGAGAAGTGTCCTGTATGTTGCTAATTACTTACTGTGAAACAGCCTCTGTCCCCTGCACATCCGATACCAGTGATGCGGTTTCCGGGCAAACAACAACGAAAGTGACCAAAAAGTGCCCCTGTCCTTTGGCATACACTTTTGCGTAAATGGCTCTGGTGTGATTTCTAAAAGAGACTTTGTCCCTATTTCAAGTTGCCCTTTTGCAACATGGTGGGTCTCTCCCTTACAGCTGTCTTTCTGACCTAGAAAAAAAACACTGCCATGTGGTTCTGTTTAAAGTTTGGTGGGTAAAGGAAAGTACTCCAAATTGACTCGAGCCCACAGTTCTGGTACCAAGTTCTTTACGCCTCAGAGTCTCCCTTCTCCTCGCTTCCCAGTGGAGTTCTCCATGTTCATCGGCAAAAAAGGAGAAGTGTACGTTTTTCTGTGTTCATTTGTATTTCAGCAATAGACTAGAGCATTTACGTTTGTCACTGCCCACACTGTGGTATCCAGGCTGTCTCCTTTGGGTAGGAGTTCTGATGTCAGCCCTTGCTCATCTGGAGATGTAAATGGTGACCCCTTTACAGTGAGTAAACGAAATCTTTTGGTGGTTTCGTACAGAAGATGCCAACTTGATCTTATGCTTCAATGAAACAAAAGCTTTCAACCAGTGACAATTACTTTACTATATATGATGCACTGCAATATTTTCTGCTTTCTTTTCTCTAAAAGAGTTGACAAGAGCCCGAAGGTTTGTGCACGACGGACGCGTGTTTTGCTTGTTTTCTCTTGTTCTTCTTTCTTTCTTACAAGTGTGTGTTTAGAAGTATAAAACCAGTATCCGTATGAGAGATCTATACCATTTATTATATAATGATATACATTAAACATATATAATATAATGGAATATTCGTGTTACAGATGCTATACTGTTTTTCTACTTGCACATCAGCCTGAAAAACCAATTTTGATTTGAGCAAGAAAAAGAAGCAATTTAAGAAGCACCTGGTTAAATTCAGTCAAGCAAGCAGTTAGAAACTTACTTCAAATTGTTTTAACAATACTCAGATTTAAGGAAAATACAGTTGAATACCTAAATTTACACCCCCATCCCTTTTCTTATGACATACGATTTTTCAGGCTCTGTGAATTTGCAAAATATCATCTGGAGCGTATTGTGTTTACCGTTACGAATGTTTTCAGACATGAAGAATCCTTTAGAGAACGGGTAGCAGTTAAACTCCTTAGACAAGGTTTGGACAATTTTTAATCTGTCGTTTCATCCACACATTCAGTGGCTGCCACCGTGCTTAATGTGACTGTCATTCTTTCACTTGTGCGCTTTGATTTTCCTGATCTTGCCCTCCTCCAGGTCCCCTGGAATAGTGAAGTTAATATCTCCCTCCTCACTCCTGTGGGTGATGTGTAAATAGTATCAGACCCATTATAGGTTTTCTGGAATGACATTTGAATACTGTTTACAATTTCGCCGTACTCCCTTCAAACAAGGTCCCAGAAGTTAATGGCAGACCCAGACCTTGAAATGAAAACACTCTGTACAAATTAGCAGGGTCCCGAAGACCTTAGACGGAGACGAAAGCGATCGTGCTGTGGAAGAGATCTAGGATAAATCAGGAAACTATGCCAACAAATGAGCATGCTTGCTTCACGTAGGATACCAAAGCTTGTCACTTCCAGGAGGTGGAGTGACTGCGGGTTTGGAAGGGCTCGGTGGTCATTCTGGAAGATGTTTGTTTTCGAGGCCGCAAAGTACAGTCATTAGTTTTCGTTTAAGGTTGCTATAACATGTTGTTACAGTTGGTAGAAACGAAAGGCCTCTTTAATACAGAATCTCAGTTCCAAACTATATCCACTCCTTGAAACATGTCAATATCGTGTGAAGCATTTTGAAGAGAGTTCCTCTCGTGGTATCTGTGCCAAAGCATGAGACCTTAATTGACCTTGGCTGTGGGTGCCCACCAGTCCCACCTCATGTGAAGGCAATGGACAGGATCTGTGCAATGCCAACCTTGGCAGTATGACCCCCTTCTAATGAGGTGGTTTTTCTATAACCCTCAAGCGCGAAATGAAAACAACTTTGAAACTTGAGAGGAAAATAAAAGTTTGAATGGGGTAAGTTTTGGAAATGATGAAACTAGGTCAAAGAGCTTTATGTGCGTTGTGATAAAGTTGTCATTAATTTTCTTCTTACTGAATTGATAGAAACCGACCAACTCTTTTTATGTTATTATAGACCAAGTCTTGGTGTTTCTTTTGATTGGTGACGTCTTCGTGAGGGCCAGATTATTCTCATAGTTTACGACCGCTTGAGATTTGGTACAGATCGTTTATTTACGGTTCACGGTCTTCTCTCTTTTAAAAGGTATTTTTGTATTGTGTCCAGGGACCTCAGAATGCACGTGAAATCGTACATTGAAGGACGGAAATACCCCGCTGGCTTTTCAGGATACACTAAGGCCAAGTTGCACTTTGCCAAAACCAGGTTTCTATTTCTGAACAGCCCGTTCCAAAATAAGTTCTTTAATCTGTTCCGAATGCTTGTGATTTTCAGTGATGTGATTATTTCCATAAAAACCACTTATGATGTAATCTTATGTGAGTACCGGAATTTGGCCGAAGACGCACATACAAGTGTCTGAACGTCTATTGTGGCTCAGTACCAACAACGCTCTGTTGTAAGAAAGCCGCGTGGAGAGGGGAGGTTATTACCAAAATCTCGTTTTCTTACTGTTCCAGGAGCCTTTTGGCAAGAGAAAATACAAGCCTTGTAGCTTTCTTCTTTCTTTCGTTGTCGTGTGTGCCAAAATGAAATCACTGATTTAGAGTAACTTTTGAAAGCCAGTCTATTATCCTCCTAGCTGCTGCTTCCTAAATGCCAGTCATAGGGCTTTTACTGATGTTTGAAGGTTGTTCAAAAGAATCACACCAAGATACCCGGGCTTGCAAGGTGACACTGTTGAAAATCTACTGAGAAACATAAATCATGGATTTCCAGCCTTTGCTTTTAGGATTAAAAATCCTGATTACAATAGTAAATTTGAAGGAGTTAACACAATACAGGAAAATGTTATGGAGCGCAGGGGTTTGTCACCCACCGTCTTTTAATCAAGCATTTGGCATTTTTCTTACAGTCCTGCTTTCCTGTGATTTAAATATCTATATATTCCATCTCCCTCAACCAAAAGAAAGCCAAATGTTAAGGGGCCATGTGTGTAACTAGCGCCAATGACTGCTACTCTCATGTTGCCTTGGTTTCTTTACACCAGAAAGAGAATATGATCCCATGGATATCATCAGTCTGGCCTCAGTGGTAGGGGAGGAGGAAGGTAGAAGAATATTAAGGAAACAGGCAAAGGGAAATGTCTTTATTTCCATCCTTAGCTTTTCTTCAATGTTGTTGTCTCCTGTCTTCCTCATGTTAACAATAATTAACCTTTTGAGAGCAATGGGTCTAATAGCATTTGGCTTACTAGTTTGATAAAAAACCAAGCAACCTCTGATGCTTGATACCTTGAAAACGTCTTGACTTTCAGAACGGATGTAACTGGGTTCCATATCCGTCCCCTTGAGGACGAGAATCGAGGGGGTTTTCCTCTTTTATCAGAAAAACATGGAGCCGTATGTTCGGGTGACTCTGCGGAGATACAAGACTTTATTCTTAATCTTTTCATTTCAAAATAACTATCACTTAGGGTCACCTTGCCTTTGATGTAGTACCTGCAGGATGACAAAACAGCACCGGAGAGTTTTCTTTGCTCACTGAAGCAAATGGCAGCTTAATTGCAGAGTCACAAGAAGGATTTCAAAACCGGTCCAAATTGAAGCCAAATTAAAGCCAGGAATCTGAAGGCCTTGGTGATTAGTAATGAATAAACACTATCCTCTCCCCAGAAAGTATTCAAATGTGTTCCTCTCTGTTGCATGTCAGCTAATTCTTTTAAAAAAAAAAAATTTTTTTTTTAACGTTTATCTATTATTAAGAGACAGAGACACACAGAGCATGAGCAGGGGAGGGGCCGAGAGATGGAAAGACCCAGAATCGGAAGCAGGCTCCAGGCTCCGAGCGGTCCGCACAGAGCCCGACGCGGGGCTCGAACTCACGGACCGCGAGATCATGACCCGAGCCGAAGTGAGACGCTTAACCGACTGAGCCACCCGGGCGCCCCTCAGCTAATTCTTAATAGACAACTTATGTCCTAAAGCATCAGGACACTAGTAACG